GACTTAGGCAAAGTGAAATCAACTGAAACAGGACATGGAACAAAGGGGTTAAACCTAAGATAGCCTCTCTGGGAGCATTTTTCCATTCTTGGTGCCCAGAGGAACCCATGAAAAGTGGAAATTAAGGTCTTGCAAGTTAAGTAGGTATCCTGACTTTACTGGTGAGAAACTGAGGCTGGGAGAGTTGAGTTAAACTTGCCGGAGGTTGCAGACCTAGTAACTGACAGAACAGAGACTGATTCCCACAAATGACTGTCTACCAAAAGACTGAACTCTTTCCCTTCCTGGTAGCAATGCTGTGAGGATCAAATGAAGCAATTACAGAAATGTATGCTGCAAATGGGGACATAACCCCTCTTTGGGGTTTCAGGATCACCCACTCTTCCTATGCCTTACCCCAAATAGAGCAGAAATGATAACTGTAAAACTCTGTGGAAAAAATAAACAAGAGACTAGTAACATCCTGTTACAATTTTTTCAAGTATCTCAAATCTTTTGTTGTAGGGAAATTTTGGTCAGTGAGATACTGCTTGAAATAAATGGGCCACTAGCCTGAGCTTGGAAATTTTGGGATGGGAAGGTCATTTGTTACTTGGTATCTACTGACAAAAATAGTAAATTTAACTTCCTCTTTTTGGAAAAATGGTATTTATACAAAATTGTGCCCCAAATGTACATTTGCTTACCATTAGATCTCTTCCATTTCCACAAAAACATATTGGGGAGAGGGATTCTTTGTAGCTTTTAAAAATATGCATTTTGGGGAGATGTCTTATTCTCTTCATTCTAGTAGTAAGTGACAAGCAGTTTGGAGTAGTAGGGAGTCAGGTTCATAACATCATCACTTCCAGTCCTGCATCTTCCTGGCCACTTGGCAAGTTCCTTAACCTCTCTGGGTGCCCCTCTTCTTTCTTCTCTGCTCCCCCCAAGTGTGGTCACATTTCAACACTGGTCAAGGTCCCGATCTTGCTAGTTAAATGTTTTTAAATGGGTATATATTTATTTAAATTGGTAATACATCCACATGGTTCAAAACAAAAAAGATTATAAAGGGAAATTCTGTGCCATTTTCTCTGCCACCTGCTTCTCTCTGGGTGCTCCTGTCCCAGTCCCCAGTTTTATTTTGCAAACTCAGAGGCTATGAAGGGCAAATAAAAAGCAAGATGACTAGATGTAATGGGGATGAAAGGGATTTATTCTAAGGTGATACTATGCAAGATGATTATTTGTCCCCTCATAGCCTCCCCCATGTTTTCTGGGACTTCAAACAGCAATGCTCAGCTTAACTACTAAGTAGTCACAGTGCCTTTTCCAGAAAATTTGACTTTGAACTTGCTAATGTGCAAAGGAAATGGTTTAGCCATTTCTCTAGAACTTTGTTGATAAATTTTCTTTTGTTCCATTTATCATTTTCTTTTAAAATTTTGCCTAATATAAATGTTGCATAGGATAGAAGGAATAAGGGGAAGAGGTGTTTTGGACTATTTTGAGATTTTTATACCGTTGGCCAGGATAAAGCATACAGGAATAAAAACAACAAAATACCCTTAATTTCCCTGAGCTAATTCAATCTTTGTAATCCTTCTGATTAAGATTGCTTACCTTTGCATTTATTCATAACGAAAGAGTGAACAAATGAACAGTAATGTAAGGATGGCTAGGCAGACAATTAACATGTGTATCCAGTCCAGTGCCTGGTGCATAGTAGGTGTGCAGCCATTGCTGTATAAAAGTCTAATCTATTAAAGTCTGCTTGAAGCACTGCCATGGTAATCGTATGTTTTCTGCAAATCTTTAGATTTACAATGCAAGTTAAAATCACTTTATTCCTGGAGCTGTACACTATGATTTGTGCATTTACGTACCCCAGTTTTTAAAAAATCAACTTGGAAAAAATCTTGGATCCTTTACTTAAAAAATACAAGAATCGAAAAAGAAGTAATATTTCCAAATTAATATATTTAATATATGGTTTTAATACTGCCTTAAACAAACTAATACAATAAGTATTAGAATTAAAAATAAATAAAAATCACTTTTAGAAACATTCTATAGGGCAAGGGTTCTAAGGACATTTTCTTCCATGACTGACGTTGGCCTAATATAAAACACTGTACGTATTTTGCAAGAATTGAGGAGCACTACCGCCTTCTCCCGAAACTGACACTGGACACTTACTGTGGTTGAAGTAGTGACCAAAATCTAACTCAATTCATTTAGGAAAGTAACGTACTTACAACGATATCTGCCCTCATCGGGAAAGGGTTTAGGTTTAAGTATACACAGCAGGCCTCACTTTGGATCATTGCGTAAGTCTAGCTTTGGAAGTTGCTGCCTTTGTGCATTTATGAGTAGGTCTACATTTTTCCCTGTTCTATTAATAGAATTCTTAATTAATGTCATTCATTCATTTACTCAGTCCACAGACATTTGTTAAGAGCCTACCAGGGACATAATGATGACAATCCAGGGACTACCCCCATGGAACACGCAATCGCAGCAAACATTGACTTTTCAGTAGTCATCGGGGCGGTGCTTTTATGGCGCTTTCCTGCTCCCCTCGGGACCAGGTGCCTGGACACGACCTCAGCCCTCGCAGAGTCCGCGCCTGAGGTACCGCACGGAGCCGCTTGCCCGGCAGGGCGAGGCCGGCAGAGCAGCCGCCGTCCCACGCGCGCTCCCCGCCGCGCAGTCTTTAATTTCGCAGCTCCGACCACCGGAAATTAGCCGCCCGCGGAGCGGACTCTGCAGAGCGCGGGTGAGCGCGGCGAGCGGAGGGCGCGCCTGCAGGCCCAGCCGGGCGCCCGCGGGACGCGCCGCCAGCGCCCTCTCCGCCGGGGGCTCGGCGCTCGCCCACCTCTTCCAAATTTAACCGTTACCTAAATCCGAAGGGAAATGAGCAAACCTCTCGGATTGGGTGTCAAGGTATTTTCAGCCTCGTTGGGCGTATTTATCCCGAAGTGTTTCCACAACAAGCTATTTCGGGACCGCGGGGCAGGTTTCGCTCTGCGGACGCTGCGGCCACTCGCCGGGCTCCAGGTCGGCGGCACCGCGGACCGGTGATTCACGGCCCACCCGGGGGCGGCGCAGCCCAAGCAGGCGGCGGGGTTGGGGTGCCCCGCGCCAGAGGGGCGGGGAAGCCGCCTAGGATCTGCCCGGCGCTCTAGTCAATCTGTGTTCTGAATCTGTGACTTCTTCTCGCTGCGGAAGTCTCCCATGAGCCAAGAATGGTTCGTTTTCTTTCGAGTCATTTCTAGTGCCTGGGTATCTGTACCCTCCGAGTCCCCCCAAGTCTCCGCTGTCCCACAGGGCCCCAAACAAGAAAGGCTGCCCGGGAGGGCGGCTGGAAAGGCCGACCCCCCTGTCCGCCCCCTAGCCGCTTTTGCAGAGGAGTGCGCCCCGACCGGGGCTCGGGGGGCAGGTCTGAGGGCTAAGCGAACTAGTCCTTAACGCTCAGGAAGTGAAGCTTGTGGTTTTGGGGGCTGAGCTCCGAAACAGATTAAAAAAAAAAAAAAAGAAGTCAGACAGCGCGGTCTCTCCCGAGGGCAACTCAGTCTGAAAACTCTCGGAGCGCGGTGCCCGTGCCCGTGCCCGTGCCCTGAGCCCGCAGGTAGGTCCGCTGCGCCTGTCCTGCGCCTCCCTCCGTGGCAGGGATGGCCGCGGAGACTTACGGGTCACCTGCGCTGCGGGGGCGACCAGAGGGCGCGGCCTGGTTCCCGCCCGCTGCCGGCTGCTTTGCGGGAGCGCTGAGAGCCCTATCCGCTGGGTCGGCACAGCGGGGCTGGGATTCTGGCGCTGAAAACGCGCGCCAGGACGTTTGGTGATTCTGCAGGGGAGCGGGATCCACTCGAGAAGGACACATCTGGTGGGGGATGGCGGCAGCCAGGCTCGGGAGGCTGCCCCTCCGCGCCTGCAAGCTCCCGCCTTCCAGGCCCTGACCAGGGCAGAGGCCGCCCGGGCCCGCGTGCGCTCAGGGGGCCGCCCCGCCCCCTCGCCGCCAGCTGCCCCGGGAGGTAGCCTTCCCACGCGCTCAGCGCCCGGCGCGACCTCCCCCCTCCCTCCTGCCTCCCAGGAACGGGCAGAGCAAGTCTGGATGCGAGAGTGGCGCGCGGCTGCCGCCCAAATCAGGAAGCCTCCTTCGCGCCCGCCTGATGCCGTGCGGTCCCAGCCAGGCCAGACTCAGCGCCTGTGCGGACGGTCTCCCCTCTCCCCTCCACTGCTGTCCCGCTAGGCGCTAATGCAGAGCCAAGGCTCATCAGGGCCCTCGGAACCGTTTCACCGTTTCCTTTTACTCTTGAGTTTCGTGGTGGTTTAAGGAGTTGTTTTTTGTTTGTGGTATCTAATTATACGGCCGAAGGGGCGGCTCACGCCGGGGCGCAGGAAAAACTGAGGCTGCAGAACCGCGCCCTGGGGCAGACCCAGTACTCCAAATCCCCCTGAAGCCATAACCCGAGGGGTCCACATCGACGGAGGCGGGCGGCATCCTCTCCCCAGGAGCCTTCTAGCTCTCAGGACTGGGGAAACGTCTCTTGGGACTCAGCTTCATGTTCGAGTCGTTTTGTCTCCCAAGTCTGTCCCCACTCCTCCCCTGGTGAAGGGGACACAGTGCACTCTTGGGAACGATTCCCAAGAATTCGTTTTGAGCCCGGAGCACCAACGGGCAGACTTAGACCGTGTCCTACATCCTGACCTTGGAGCTGCGCGGCAATTAGTCTGCTAGTCTAAGCCTTGTGAAACCCAAGAATGAGGAGTCCTGCCCCGGCCGTGGTCCTCAGCCGCCTTGTTCCTCAACTAGCTCCGAGAGCTGCTGTGCCCGAAGAACCTGTAGTTCCCATGTGAACCCAGCCCCCATCGCCTCCACGCAGGGAGGAAGACAGATTCGTTTTCCCCAGACCTCCAAGCCCGCCGGGTCCCGCCCCCGGAGCGCGCCCCAGCCGAGCAGGAGGCTCTGCCCCGCCTCCCTGCCGGGCTCAGGTTTCGACCCCGGGATTAGGTGAACTGATTGGGGGTTAATGAGAGCGGCGAAGCCGGCAGCTAGCTCCCTCTCAAGCCCGCGCCAAGAGCCCGGTTCTAGCTGGCCGCTGCCGGAGGAGCCTGCGCTCTCCGAGTCCGCTAAACTGATGGTACTCCGCTGACTCCGGGACAGCGCGCGTTTTCCAGCCAGCGCACATTGATCTGGCTCGACTTCCCCAAGACAAGGTTTTTGGTGAGCAGAACGGAAAGTGCTTTTTCCCGGAACTTGGTTTCCGAGGTTAGGTCTCCCTGACATTTTCCCCGCGTGGGGCACAAGGGGCGAACAAGATCACCGGGCCGCGCGTTCCTCCCAGGGCCGGGGTCGGTCCTCTGCCTCCACCATGCCTTACCTTCCTACCCCTCTGCCCCGCTGATTTCTTTATCTGGCCCCTGCTACTCTCAGTCCCTCTGCCTGTCTAGGAGTTCTCTCCCTTTCACTCCAGTCGGTAGCCCGCTCTTGGAGAGCATGGCTCCTTGTTCTCTCTTGATCTTCGGCTACCCGACACATCTCCCGGCCCTAAATTGATCCTCGCGTCCTGCCCAGCCAGAAAGTAGAGCCAGGCAGGCAGTGAGTGGTCGAGGCGGGGTAACTGGCCCTTTGGGGTCTTCAGCTCTCCGGAGAATTTGATTGCCCCAGCGAGTTTTGCCAGGGAAGGGGAGGGGCTAAGGGGCGTGGGCAAGGCAGAGGAAGAGGCCTGAGCCCGGGCCCCGGGACGGATTTTACCGCTGAGTTGTGACGGCGGCGGCGGCGGCGGGCTTGAGCCACCTGTCCGAGTGCCACCTGGTGAGCGCGGCTCAGCGGAGCCAAGCCCCTCCTCCCGTGAGCCTTCCCTGCTCCTCGTCTCCCCAGGCTCTCACTGCGCCCAGCTGCCTAGTCCCGGGCCCCCGAGCTTGCTGACCCGCATTTCCACCAGTTTTCCTTCTCTCGCAGATCTCCGCCTGGCTGGAGCTGAGCCAAAACTCGGAGTGACAGTGGGCTGACAGCGGCTCCAGAAACCCTTGGAGTGGAGTGGGGAGCGCGCCAGACCACTATGCCGCGTTCATTCCTTGTCAAGAGCAAGAAGGCTCACAGTTACCACCAGCCGCGCTCCCCGGAATCCAACTATTCCCCCCTCCTGGAGAATGTACTGGCGCCAGGCGGAGCAGGTGCGAGGCGTGCACGGGCCGGGCGGGGCAGCTCCCGGGGCCGCAGACTCTGCGCCCTGCCACACCATCCCCTAGGAACCAGGAAGGGCGTCCCGATGTCCTCCCCCTTGCTGGCTTTTTTGTTTCCTGCTGTCCGGGTTCCTTCCGGGCTTGTAGCCTAGGTGCCACGGTCTCTCTGCTTCTGCCTTCAGATCCGGGAGGGTTCCCCGCCAAGTTTTGGGGAGAGCAGGACTCCCGGATGTCACGGTCTGGGGGTGCGCCACTTCCGAACCATCGGCCCAACCAAGCCCAGGCTGAGCCCTATCCTGCTTCCTCTCCGCAGACAGTACCTCGATCGCAGGCGGGGCGAAGGCTGAGCCCCGGGGCCGTTTGTCCCCCGAGTCGCAGTTGACCGAGGCCCCCGACAGAACCTCCGCATCCCCTGGCAGCTGTGAAGGCAGCGTCTGCGATCGCAGCTCGGAGTTTGGGGACTTCTGGAGGCCTCCGTCGCCCTCCGTGTCTCCAGGTAGGGACCCGTTGGGAGATCTGGGGCTGGGGCTGCAGGGACCCCACCGTGAGGAATGAACTGGTGCCGCTTTGGGCGCAGAAACAGTAAATGGGTGGTGGAGAGTCTCTCCGAGAGGAGAGAGCTTGTTGGTGGCAGTAAGAGGCCCTGTGGGGAGTTATCTGGCTTCCTGGGACTGGGACAGCCTTCTTGCGGGACCTGCTGCCTGGATCCGGGACGGCAGGACCTGGGATGTTCACCCCTAACGTTGATTTGCGCGGAGCTGGTGGGTGAGGGAAAATTAAGTTTCTTGATCGGCAACAACCTCGATATTTCGTTTTCTGATCAGAGTTGATGGTTTGAAAATAGCTAGGATCACAGAATCCATATACTTGAGTCTCAGACAAACGGAGACATGGGCAGTGTGACTGAAAAGTGTTGTAATTTAAAAATTACCCCTTCTCCCACAGCTTTGCACCTGACGGAGCTGCGCGCCAAACGGGAGGAAGGAAAATCTCAGTGCCCCGCTAGGGCTTCGCGGGCCCAGACTGGGGGCCTATTTCATTTTTCGTTATTAGGGTTTGGCCCACCCTTGGGGGTCAGCCCGTTGGTTTCATTTCCAGCCAGTAATCGAATTTCGCTTAAACCGAGTGACTGCACGTTGAGGGGGGGAGGGGGGGGCAAGTCTCAGGTTTTGGCGTAGGGAAGGACAGCGCAGACCAGAGATATTCTGCCAAGGACCGGTTATTTCCAGATTGCATTTACTAGTTTTAAAAGGTTATCTCCAACCCCGTCCCACACTCACTGTGGTGACTTGGTTAAGGAGATCGCTCCGCCTAGTGTGTCTGGGAGCTGGCGATCTGAGGGTTCTTGGCTGTGCAGGACAGCCCCACAAGGACTGGGTGCCGCTGGAATCTCTCCCATGGAAACTTGGGGTTCTATCTCTCACTGCAGCGGCTAGCCCGGAGTGGAGTCTGTGGTGTGTGTAAACAGATTTGTAAATCCGTATGCACTTCGAGAAAGTGTATGTTGGGTATATGGTTTTAGCCAAATTCACGTGGGTGGGGTGTAGAAGGCTGCAAATTCAGAAAGCTATTCCTCTTGCAGGTGGTGGCTAAACCTTAATTGTAATTTTTCTAAAAAATTAAGTGTGTTCCCTCCTCCCCACCCCATCAAACTATAACAGGACTTGGAATGGGAAGTATTTCGTAGGTGACTCAAGCCCCAAGCCCTCTTCCCTCTGCCCCTTTGCGGCCTGCCCCGAGTACTTAATAACTTGGAGGAAAGTTAACACCTTCCCGTTTTTCTCCAAATAGATACATCTCGGGTAGGCCGGGCCGCATTTTACTGTTCTTCTCCCTTCCTTCTTATCGATCCCGGAAAGAAAGGACAGAGTGGGAACACGTAAGGGCCGGGAGAGAGCCCGCGCTGGGCCCTCTGCCTACGAGCGCTGACCCCGGCGGGAGGTCGCTGCTTTCTGCTCCCGCACAGCTCAGCTCTGAGTGTTTATTTAGCAGAATGCGTGGCGCGCCTGTCTCTTTGGCACCGCCAGGTGCGTTGGTCCAGCCAGAAAAGCCCCTCTTAACTTCGTGTGCTTCCGCTGCTCTGGCACGGAATTTACCTATCTCCTCGCTCGATGTCATTTCAATTGTTTGTTGCCTTGCTGCCTCCAGTGGTCCTCGACGCCCCAGGGACCGAGCCGGCGTTTTATCCGGGAGAGGGAGGACATCCCTGGCACCTAGCGCGGCAGCTAGCGCAAGAAGTGCTCCACAAACGTTGGGTGCCTGGCAGTTGGCAAAAACACCTGACTGGCCGACGCCACCCTGCCATCTTAAACCTGACCAGACTCCCTTTTGCCTCCACAGCCTCGGAGAAGTCGGTGTGCCAGTCTCTGGACGAAGCTCAGTCCTTCCCCCTGCCCTTCAAGCCCTACTCCTGGAGCAGCCTGGCGGGATCTGACCTGCGACAGCTGGTGCAGAGCTACCGGCCTTGCGCTGCTCTGGAGCGCGGCACTGGCTTGGGCCTCTTCTGCGAGCGCACGCCGGAGCCAGGCCATCCCGCCGCACTGTACGGCCCGGAGCGGGCTGCGGGCGGCGCGGGGGCAGGGGCACCTGGCGTAGGCGGCGCAGGAGGCGGTACCACGGGTGGTGCAGGCCTGGGGCTCTACGGCGACTTCGGGCCCGCGGCAGCGGGGCTGTACGACCGGCCGGCGGCGGCGGGTGGGCTGTACTCGGAGCGCGGCCACGGGCTGCACGCGGACAAGAGCACCGGCGTCAAGGTGGAGTCGGAGCTGCTGTGCACTCGCCTGCTCCTGGGCGGCAGCTCCTACAAGTGCATCAAATGCAGCAAGGTGAGGATTCCGCGCGCCCGGTTCGGCCTACCCCGCGCCCGCGCCCCTGGCTGGGGCGCCCGCAGCCCCTCTCAGCGGCCTTCTACCCGGCCCCACCCGCCTCAGGTGTTCTCCACGCCGCACGGGCTGGAGGTGCACGTGCGCAGGTCCCACAGCGGCACGAGACCCTTTGCCTGCGAGATGTGCGGCAAGACCTTCGGGCACGCGGTGAGCCTGGAGCAGCACAAAGCCGTGCACTCGCAGGTAGGCGCTGGGCGTTCGGCAAGCGCGCGGCCCTGCTCAGGGTTTAGCTTTTGGGGATCTTCTGCTTCTCTGTGCAGCACCGGCCCCTTTCCGCCTGGCAGCTTTCTCCTCGGACTTCTCCCGTCTGCCCCTAGCTTCCTCCACGTCCCTTTGTTTAGATGTAGGTGTGTAGGGAAAGGTGGGTGTGGCCAGCTCAGGCCTCTAGGTAGCCCTGAAGTTTGGTATCACATCTTTGTGAGTCTCCAGAGTGTGATCTAGATCATTACTTTGAGTTTGAAGGGGTTTGCTGTGCACTCTTGCCGCTGATGTATCAGATTTATTAGCTCCATTTTTTTTGCATCGTTATTTTACACAAATGGCTGTCATTTGATCTGCATTGACTCTTCCCGTCTGAAAAAGCAGGATCTGCACTCGTTTAGAGCATCCAGTAGCATATTTGTCCTACTCTTCTGTAACTCATTTGTTTATAAATATTTGTTTCTCCACTTCGAGTGCTAGGCAGGTGAGAATCCTGAAACACCAGCAGCAAGCCACCTTCCTGACAGGATGCCCCCAGGAAGATTACAGTTTAGTTTTGAGACAAAGGAAAGGGTAGATAAGCAAATAAGTATACAAATACCTATGAGGAGAGAATACTTGCCTACAGAGACTTACATACTAAAAGGAGTACGATTGTCTCATCTCCCCAACACCCACACTGGCTAGAAGGTGGGGGGAGTGTGGTAGCATCTCAAGTGATGGTCATCTAAGCCTCCTGTTGAGGAGGGTGGAGAAGTGTTTGTAAATGGGTGTCAAAAAAGCAGGGTGGGGACATGTTTTTGCCATGGGGCAAGGAGGGTTTGTGGGTGAAGTGTTTTGGTAGAAAAAAAGTGTTAAAGGGGGTAAGGGGAGAGAGGGTGGAGGTTGGAAATAAATCAGGGGAGAGAGGAATGGAGCAGTCTATATGGAAGCAGAGCCTGAAGGAAGGGAGCTCCCTGGCTTTGAGGATTTTAGGGCCAGGTTAGTGGTGAGGAGAATGGCAGCCTAGGTGACTGCAATAGGACTGCCACATGTTTCTGCAGGAACGAAGTTTTGACTGTAAGATCTGTGGCAAGAGCTTCAAGAGGTCATCAACACTGTCCACACACCTGCTCATCCACTCAGACACTCGGCCCTACCCCTGTCAGTACTGTGGCAAGAGGTTCCATCAGAAGTCAGACATGAAGAAACACACCTTCATACACACTGGTGAGTTGAAGGCCCTTGGCTTGTAGGAAACACCCAGAGGGGTAGGGCACAAGAGTCATTTTTCTTTCCCCTGAGGACTATATAATTCATCTTCTCTCTGATATTCTGGCCCCAGAATGAGTGGTGGGGTGAGGCCTTCCAGATGGAGTTAATCACTGCAGTGTGTTAAAGAACACAAGGAGGCAGATTCTCTTAGGTTCATTTACATACGTGGTTCTCCCCAGAGGCGCCATGACTTGCACTCCACTCAGCAGGTCAGCTCAGCTGCAGGTTCTCTGTCCTTGCAAAGAATATTTTCATCTAGTTAAGCAGCTGCTCCAGCTGCCACCTGCTCTGAATATGAAGCTCCAGGGTCCTCTCAGTGGTGCTCTAAATATTTACCAGAGATTGAGGACTTTCCTTAGGACACCCACCCAGCCTTTTGGGGGACTTACATGTGGCCGCTTGGCTGCATTTTTAGGAGTCTCAGAGCTCATTCTGGTTGAGGAAGGAAAAACAATGGTTATTATGAAGCTCTCTGCTAAACACTTTTTAAATGCCTTATCTCATTTTATGCTTACAACAACTCTAAAGGATAGAGACTATTCCTTATCCCCATTTTAGAGATTAGGAAAGTGAGGCACAGGAGGGTTAGGTAACCTACCCAGGCTCATGTTGCTAGCAAGTAGCAGGGCCAGGACTTAATTTTCAGGTGTGTCTGATCTCAGATGTCTATGCTCTTGACCACTGTTAATTGTATTCTATTTCAGAGTCTGGGGGGTAGTAGATATAGAAAGCTCCTCTTTACTTCCTGCCCTTTTCTGAATATCAGCATGTTCATGCCATAATAAAGAGAATTCTTTATATATTATAATGCTTTGTCATTTACAAAGCTATCACTTCATTTGATCCTTACTGCCACCCCATAAAGTAGAAGAAGCTGTTCTTACCATCTGGAAACTCAGGGAGATAGACTGATTTACCAAAGGTCAAACTGAGAGTAAGTCATGGGGCCATGGAATACTCTGGCTTCCAATCCTGGGCTCTTTCTTAAACATTTTGGTTGTATGTAGGTGGTAGTTTTAATGCCAGAAGCACTCTCTTTACATGAGACATGACCCCTTGCCTAAAATTTCCATTAACTTACTCATTTTGAATAAAGGTATTCAAGACACTTATCAAAATGCAACTAGGATCTTGACTGTATGACATAGTAAGCACTTATCAAACATTTACATTATAGCCAGAATTCATATCTCAGATTTGTTTGATCCTAAAGGGATAGGTAAGTTTTGATGGTCAGTTCCTTATCAAGGAAATCTGAAGCATGAAGACAGAAAGGGGTTCAACAAAAGGGACAAAGTGTTCCTCAAAAACAAACTTCATCTGTTTTGCATTTTTTCCAAGACTCTTGCCATGCTGGGGCTATTTGAAAATTCTTGCTATTTGCCCAAATATTAAAGAGCACATAAATTGGAGGAAAAGACAAAACCTTTTCGGTTATTTATTAATCTGTGGTGAAGAGTTGCTGGTATATAAAGATTCCTGTGATTAACCTCATAAAAAGAAAGAAAAAAGGATCAACTACCTTAAATAATGTGGCCTAAATGTGGATTAAAAAAAATAAGACTGAGAAACGTCCATGCTTCAGATAAATTCTGTTGTCCTTTAAGAGCGAGAAAGAAGACAGGCTCACTGGTCTATATGAACACCCACTTGGAAACTCAGATTTGAAAACTTCCTCTGAATTAGAACAGTCACATGTGTGAAGGACACCCCCCTACACCCTACTTTGAACATCTGCTGTGGGAGCTCTCTGCTTCTAAAGTCAGGGGAGTCCTCCCGGGGTGGATTCAGCTGTGAGTCTGGGGAAGGCACGTGGCCTTTGTTCTGTTTCCGTTTAGCAGGAAACGGTTTGAGGCCTTTGGCCGGGAACCCCCACTCGAACGTCTCCCTTTCACCTGGTGCACTCATGGCTTACCGGGGCTTTCGTTGCAACACACCACCCTCCGAGTTGCTTGAAGGCCTTAGACTGCGGTGCTGCCAGCTGCTGCTGAGAGCATGTGCAGCCCGGTGAGTCCCCTCTAGCTTTGTCACAGATTCATACTTCCTCCCCTCCCCCTTCCACCGCAGGTGAGAAGCCCCACAAGTGCCAGGTGTGTGGCAAGGCCTTCAGCCAGAGCTCCAACCTCATCACCCACAGCCGCAAGCACACAGGGTTCAAACCCTTCGGCTGTGACCTGTGTGGGAAGGGCTTCCAGAGGAAGGTGGACCTCAGGCGGCACCGGGAGACACAGCATGGCCTCAAGTGAGAGCCCTGGCTGGCCACCAGCAGCAGTCACACAACACTACGGAGGGCAGCCTCCCCATCGCCACCACCTGCTTCTGACTTCTTGGGCCCCCAGCCCAGGCGGCAAAGTCCTCCCGGTAACCCCTTCACCCTACTTCCTGGAGCTGCCAGAGGAGATGAGTTTATCTTTTCCAAGGTCAGCCTGGAGCTGGAACCAAAGGACTCGCTGGGCTTTGGACATATCGAATAGGCTCCTCTGAGACTGAAGACTTGAAGTCAAGAGGGAATCAGATAAAATCTTGTGCCCCACAGTCCTTCCCATTCCCAGCCCTGCTCCACAGACAGGAAAGTCCTTTTGGTTTCTTCCTTCCTCCTGACTTGCCCTGGATACTTGTGTGGAAGAGGAATCTCCTTTTACGAGGTAGAAGCATGCTAATATTGTTTTTTTTTTTTATCTAGAATGAAGAGTAAGTGTTATTTTTAATTTTTCCCTTCTGGGGAGTATGTTGATCCCTTTCTGTTGGGTGCTGCCTGTAAATCTTGGAGGAATTTTCTCCCACTTGAAAACTAGTTCAGAAACTGATTTGGGGAAGGAGTTTCATGCTTCTGAAATTACAAGATACACTGTTGAGGCTGCCCCAAGATGGGGCTGAAGAAAAGTGGACTTGGTGATGAGAGTTAGAGGTTCTACCTGCAGGAGGCCTGGGAAGGCTTCATCAGAGGAAGTAGAAGCACACGCAAGATGACAAGATGTCATCCTCAGCAAATGTTTATTGACCACTGGTGACCATGGTACCAGGCCTTATGCTAGGTACTGGGGAGCCAGAGATGAAAGTCACAGCCCTGCCTCTACCCTTCAAAAGCTAATAGGCAGCTCCAAGTGGTTGGGTCTGTTCTTTCCTTCCAGAGGGATTTCAAAAAGAGAAAAGAGAATCTTGAACCTTCCCTTCTGACCCATTTGGATTTTATCAAGCATAAACAAAAAGTAGCTGAACAGTTACTTTGAGAATTTGTGTGTATATTCAGTTTTTTATGTTCAGCTGATACTTTTAAGATGTCTAGGCTACCAGGCATGTGGGAGTAAAGGCTCTGTCTTCAACTCTTTGACCCTCCATGTGTACCATAGAGGGAAAAAAAATGTTTTTTACTTTGATGAGGTTTGTAAATGTTTTTAGATATTCTGCAGTGCATTGTTTGTTAATACATATTTATTAGAGTGATGTTTTAAGTTAATAAAGTATTAAGAATCTTCACTACTGTTTTTCATTTAGGCCAGGGATTTGGGAAAGACCTTTGCTTCAGTCTGAAGGGGGAGCTGGCACTGAAGGGAACTACAGTGGAGTATGAAAGTAAAGCAGTCAGGCCCGTGTCCAGAAGAGAGTGAAATCTGATTGCTCAGGTTTCCATATGCTCCCTTTTCTTCTATGCCTCAAAGGTCCTTCTTTCTTAACAGAAGAGCTAGGTGTACAAAACTAAGCTTCTAACTTGTACCCCCTGATGGTCCCACACATATGTAGGCTCTGTCTTCTGAGATGCTAGGCTTTTGTACAGGCCAGAATGCCCCCGAGAGGAATAAAGAAATCACAGACCTTAGGTCCAGAGATTGAGTTTTACTCAGGTCACAGCACACCATGTAACTTGGGCAGATCTCTTGGCCTCCCCGGGACGGGGTTCCTTGACCATAAAATGTGGATGTGGTTGTATCATCCCAATCCAACCCTGATCGCTTTGATCCTGTGAATACTGGTGGGGAAGGAAACTGAGATTGCATAGCTGTAACTTAAGCTAAGTTTCAAATCTAGAGATTCATGAAGGGCAATAAAGTTGGGATCTGGGTTTTTTTGGGTTCTGTACAATCTGTGGAATTTCTTGCCGAAGTCAGTCCTATAAAAGAATGAAACCAGAATAAGGTCCTGGCCTAAATCCCACCTGTGCTCTTTCTAATATCTCCCAGCCAAGGTATGCACGGTGCATGGTGACCACCGCCAATTGTCTGTTTCTGTTCAAATCAATTTCACACATATGAATGGAGCACCCACTATGTGCCTGGCACTGTGCTCGGTGCTGGGGTTACAACAGTGAGCACAGTGTCTTGTGGAGCTTTATTTATTTGGTTACTGCTTACTCTTCAGCTTCCAGACAGTGCCCGGCACACAGTAGGAGATCAGTAAGTATTTGCTGAGGTGGTAAGTGAATAAGCAGAGAAAATAAACTCATGCTTCATCCTGGCTGGCTCTGCTCTCTACAGCACAAGAGAAAGAGCAATTGGCTGAAAGCCCAGGAAACAAACAGAACACACAGGATTCTCTCTGAGTTTGTGGGTAAAGGGGCTCTGACGCCGATTTTCTTGAGTCTCTCCAGAACTTGGTCGCTGGCTGTCCTCACCTGGTTTCCTACACCATGCTTTTCCATGCCAGCTTATTCTCATTCAAAATTTAAATTTGTCTTCTTTATAATGCAGTTTAAGGTAATTTTCCAGATCTGATGGGTGAACAGTTGTGACATCCAGGAACCTCTTCCTAGTGTCCTAGGAAACAAAGTTCCCAGTGAATAAAAATCATAAAAGATCCTTCCCACAGAATTCATCATGCACATTGGCTGCATATTTCCAACCTGGTTTGAAAAGTAAAGAAGTTGCATTGAGGGGTAAGTAGAACTGATTGAAATCTAGTTGTCTACCCTGTCCTGCTCTCCCTTTGTGACATTTACAACTTTGGTCCATTTTCATAATCCCTGTTTATGCTGTAAATGAAGTGGTATCATTTTGATGCTAACAGTATGTATTTTTAGGAAAAAAAATATCTTGATATCCCCAGTTCAGAATCAAAACAAATTACTGTGCCTGTTACCATGTGAAATTTGAAGATTGCAAATATCTCTCTTAATGTTATTACTTGACTCCATTAAAAATAGATTGTGAATATTCCATGTCACATTATTCATGAGGCAGCCTCTATGCCTTTTGTCTGCCGGAGTAACAGTAGAAAGGGTAGCAAGAGACACCAGAGTACACCTTTGTTTCTTTCACTAAATTTTTAATAACACCTCCAGCTAGCCAGTTGGTGAAGCTCAGCTTTTGCATTAAAGTGGAAAAGCACAGCTATCTCAGAGAAGACCAACTCTTTCAGTACTTAATTTGAGTTTGTGTTCATCTACACCAGAGATGATTAAGTTACCTATCAAGTGTGCTGAGCTATCAGGATTCAGGCCACCTAAAAGGTGAATTTCATCTGATTGATTTGAGAACACCAGTGGAACAAATGAGTTTTAAAAGCCCCACCTTAATTAAAGGCATATCACTCCCTGGTGAGTGCCTGACTGCACTTGAAAATTGGGTGGAGGTAGTGATTTGGCCCATATTATTTTATTGTAGGACTGATTGTTTAACCTGATCATTTCACAGAAAGACATTAATTTAGAGGAAGCCCTAAAGGATTTGATTACTTTTTATTGTGCATTTCTAGAGCACTGTTTGTTCTAAATCTCTGCTGCTATTTCTACAGTAAAAAGTTTTCAGGAAGTACATAATACATTTATTTTACCAACATTTTTAAGTTAAACTTTTTAAATATAGAAATTAAATAAATTTTGCCCCAAACCCTTTTACCTTAAAAGTTTATGTTCATTTCTTTTTAGTATTCCTTTCCGACCTTTACCCACATGTGTATATGTTTACACTTAACATTTTTACCATGTGATCAGGATATTTACAATTTATGTCCAGATAGCTTTTATTTATTTATTATATGGACACATACTTAAAACAGAAATAAATATTTGTATTTCACAATGAAAACTTTGACAATTTTTATGGTTGAATTTTATTGAAATCTTAGTATTTGTTAGGAATTTTATTAATCATTAATCTGAAGTTTTACTTTAAAGTTATTCACTTTTTAAATAACACCTTTCAAGCAAATGAAAATTACAGAATAATATACATCAGTGTGCCCACTGTTTTGCCATATTTACCCCAGATTTTATTTTTGAAATTAAGTATTTCAGACATGGCTGAATATCTTCTGGACCATGTTCCTCCCTAACCCTCCCATTCCTTTCTTGCCAGAGGCATCCTCTGTACCAAATTGGTACATATCATCTCCATGGATATTTTTACTTACACATTTCCCATAAACAATATATAGTACTATGTAGCATATTTTAACAATATAAATGGTATCATAGTGCATATATCCTTCTGCACCTTGTTTTTTTTCTCAATACTTTGTTGTCAAGATTTATCCATTTGATACACATAGTTTCGTTCATTTATTTTAATTGCTGCATATTGGAGTCTATCATATGAATACTTTGTGATTATTTTTGTATTCTCCTGTTGAAAGAGTTTTGCTTATTTCCAGTTTTCCCTATCACAAACTATTCTGAAGCAAACAACCATTTACATATCTCCTCGTGAACAAAATTCTTTAGGGTATAATATTCCTGGGAGTGGAAATGCTGGGTATTATTAAATTGCTCTCCAAATTAATTGTGCTAATTTACATTCCCATCAATACTACAGGAGAATTCCTGTTGCTCTGCATCTTACCAATACTTGGTATCAATCAGATGGGAAATATAATTTTTATTTCCTGATTCCTAGTGAGGTTGAAGTAGTATCTTTTCATTGTTTATTGGCCTGACAGGTTTCTTTTCCTGTAGAATGCCTATTGCTTGCTTTTTATTAATTTACATTTTAAAATATATTCTAAGTACTCACTATTTTGTTAGTTAAGTTTGCTGCACACATCTCCCAGTCTGTAGCTTGGCGTTTCATTTTGGTTGAAGAGAAGATTTGTTTGTTTTATTTTTGTGTTAATATAGTCAAAGGTATGGGTCTTTTCTTTTATGGTTTATGCTTTTTATATCTTAATTAACAAACCCTTCCCTAATTGGTAGTCATAAACCCATCCCCTATATTTTCTTCGAGAAATATTAAAATGTTTGCTTGTAACATTAGCTTTTTAATCTACTTATATGTGCATGGTATATAGGATCTAATTAAAAATTTTTTTCACACATGGATAACCAAGTGCTCCAACATTATTTACTGCAAATAACGTCCTTTTCTCTCTGATTATAGTGCCACCTTTGTCACATGTCAAGGTTCTTTTCTGTCTCTAGGCTTCCTGATCTGTTCCACTAGTCATTTTGTCTATTTCTCTGCCATGGTGTCTTAATTAAACTTATAATAAATTCTTTGTAGCTATTAGGTAAGACTTCCCTCTGACCTGTTTCATCCTCTTCAGGAATATCTTGGCTACCCCTACCCCTTTGCTTTTGCTTGTGAAAAACTCTGTTGGAATTTTTTATTTGTACTACATTTCTAGTTTAATTGGGGACAATTGAAACATTTTGATATTGATTCTTCCTATCCATAAATATGGCATATTACTTAAGTCTTTTTTGTCTTTCAATAACATTTTATAATTTTCTTCTTTTGCTGTTGTTATTCATTGCTCTCACTGTTCTTAAAACTGCATTTCTTACTCTCTGCTGCTAGTGTATGGGAACAAAATTATTATTTTTGTTGTTGATCTGGTATCCTGCAACTTTGCTGAACCTTCTTTTTAGTTTGCTGCAGGTTATTTTAGATTTTCTATGCAAGATAATCGTAAAGCATCCACGTGACTATAGCTTTGTTTTGGTCATTCCAATGTACTCTTGACTTAACTGCACTAGCCAAGGCTGTTCTGAATAGGGACAGAATAGTAGGCCTCCTCATCTTATCCCTGGGTTCCAGGGAAATGCTTTTAGTTTTTCACAATTTAGTGACTTTTTGGGTAGGTTTTGGTAGGTGACTTTTTAAAAATCAGGTTAGGAATTTCTATTTCTGTTTGTGTGAATTGGTATTAATTGTATAATCTCTGGGCATCTGTTGGGGAAATGTATTAGTTTCTTAATGGTTTTTAGTGTGTTATTTGGTTTCTTATGGCTTTTATTCTATAATTTGTCAATGTGGCAAAAGACATTATAAATGTTCTATGTTAAATTATCCTTGCTTTGCTCTGAGGAACCAACCCAAACTTGGTCATTTTGCTAAACCTGTATTGCTGATTTGTTTACTGAACTCGACTTAGGATTTTTTGCATTTATGCTTATTAGTGGAATTGACTTAAAATCTTTCATATAGTGTCCATGTGTGGTTTTGATATCAAGGTTTAACTTGTCTTCAAATGAATAGGGCAGCAGCATTACCTCTTTCCTATTTTCTAGAACAATTTGTGAAAGATTTGGGTATATGAGTGTTCTTAGAGTGTTGGATAGAATTCATCTGGGCCTTTTTTTCTTTTTTTGATGAGGGAAGACAAAGAAGAGGGCAAACTTGAGTGAATATGTCTATTTAGGTTTTTGCTTTCTTCTTAAACCAATTGTAGTAGGTTATATATGGTCAGGAAATATTCTGTTTCTCTGAAGATGTCCAGTTAATTGCCACAGTATTTAAAAGTCAGTATGAAACAGTATGAAAAATCATAGTATTCTCTGATTTAAAAAAAAGTCTTTACTGTAACTATCATTGTGTTCAATATTTCATTGTAATATTTATTTGTGCCTTTTTCTTTTTTCTTGATCAATTTTGCCAAAGCTCTTAGTTTTTACAGTATGTCTTCATTGTCATTTATTTCCACATCTTATCTGATAAGATTTCTTACTTCACAGATGTATTTATTATTATGTATTTATTATTTAAGAGTGCACTTAAAATTCCTAATCATTTTTTTCAGTATTTTTTTCTTAGTGAATTATAATTTAATTATATTTTGATCAGAGAATATGACCTACATAATATTAATTCTCTGATATTTGTTGAGGTTTATTTTGTAGCCTTATCCATGGTCAATCTTTTTAGATAGTATGTGCTTGAAAAGAATGTATGTTTTCTAATTACTGAGGAAAATATAGTTATATCAACTTTCCTTTAGTTGGCTTTTACATAGTATTTTTCTTATCCTTTTC